AGAACTTAGAATGATCTACAGTAATGACCTGTAGACAATGAATTTATTAATTAGAGGAAATATTTCAAATTAGTAAAGAAGCGAAATATCATTCCCTAGGTTGCATTTAGAGAAATAATTTTTCGATAACGAGTGAATCAGTATGTAAAAGTCACAAAATTTGTAAATACCTAGCATATATACAATAAAAACATGCCATACTGACCTGACTGCAGATTAAAAAAAAAAAAAATATCTTTGAAATAAATTTATATTAAGTTTTATTTTTTTTTTGTTATTTTTTAAATAAATTATTTTGAATTATTTTTTTGATTATAATCAAGAATATTTTGTAATTTTTTAATATATTTTTAAATTAAATAGTTTATTTTTTATAATTGTTTTTTAAAATCAATAAAAAATGTTTTTTATTGATTTTTTGATTATACATAAAAAATATATTTACAAAAAGTTTTTGTATTTTTTTATTAATATTTTTTTTAATTAAATTAAAATATGATTTTAAAATTATTTCACTTTTTTTTTATATTTACAAATTTCTTTAATTAAAAACTTGACTTTCAGTAATAAAAAAAAATCAAGTAATATCTTTGAAATTAATAGTAAAAATTTTTTCAAAAAAAAAAACTGATTATAAAGAGTATTTAAAACCTTTTTAATCTTTGAAACAAGAGATTTATAGAAATTTTATATAGTATAAAGTCTTATTTTTTTTCTTTTTTACTATTTTAATCCTCTTAAAGTTTTTATTTTTATAGTTTCTAAAAGAATTTTATTTATTTTAGTTTAACTTTAAATTTTGAATAGTATAAATTCTTATCAAAAATAATAAGTTAATATAAAACAAGTTATTTTTTAAAATATAAACAAGTTTCTATTAGTTACACTCATATAATTTGATAATAGTATTAATAATTAAAAAGAATATTATAAAAATATATATTTTTAAAAACCAAGTTCTTTAATAAAAACATTTATAATTAAAGATAGGTTCCTAAAGGGAGTGACAAGGACAAAAGTCAAATGTCTTTTACTAGGAAATATTAAAATTTTTAAATTAATAATCATAAAAAAACTATCCACAATTGTTTTTTATTATTCAAATTATTGATTTATGATATTTTCTGACTTTTGTTCCTATTAAATTAATGAGCTATGAATTTTGTCTCTCAAAAAGAGACATAAGTAATCTAATACTTTAGTGATCCATTATTATATATAATATTAAAAAATTAAAAGATATATAATATAAATTATAAACTCTTATCTTTTATTTAAGTTCTTTAGATATTAATAAAACTTTAATAAATAAAGATTAAAATTTAAATTTTTTTCTAGAAATATTTCAATTTAATATTTACTTAAATAAAAAATCAGTTGAATTGATTTGTTTGATATTATTAATAGTGATAAAAATTTTTTTTATATAATTAAAATAAAATATCTCAATTAAGCAAATTTCTTTTAAAAAAAGCTATTTTTATTTTTGAACTTTTTTTAATAGGTCTTAAATTATTATTTTTTTTTTGATTATTTTTTTCTTTTCTTTCTAACTTGACAATTCATTGATTTTTAGATTGATCAATAATAACAAATTGTTAATAAGAATATTAGTAGATAATAGTTAATTCATTTATATTAAAGAAGTATAATATTATTACTAAAATCTGATTTAAGGTATTTTATATAATGTTTAATTAATTACTTTGTAAATGTTTATAAATTATTATAGATATTTTTTTAATTTCTTAATAAAAACAAGTTATTATAGCATGATTTTAGATTAGTAAAAAAAAAATTTTATAATTATTTTTTTATTATTTATTAAAATTTCTATTATTATTTTATTTGTATAAAAATTAAATAAGAATTATTATATTATCATTTTAATAAAATATCTTTTTATAATATATTATAATTTATATTATAGTTTTATGATTTTAGTTTAAATAAAATAAATATTGTTATTTTCTTTTTTCTTTTTTTTTAATAATTTTATTAAAAAGTTAAATTAAAAATTTTTTGTTTTTTTGAATTAAGATTTTTGAGTATTTTATATTTAATATATATAGAAAAACTTTTTAAAATATTTTTTAATTACTTAAGTATATTATTTTATATTAGTGGCAAGAATTATACAACAATTGTTTATTTCTTTGATCAATATTCTATTTTTAATCTAGATTTAAATATTTAAAATTTATATATTTTTAAAAATTATATAATGATATATTTTTATAACTTTTTTAATGATCTGAAAACTTATAACTATAAATTTTAATTTGTTTAATTTTTTGATTAGAATTAGGTTAAGAGCTATCTTGAATTTTTTTAATTTTTATTTAATTTTAATTTTTTTTTAGTTTGATAAAAAAATTAATACTTTTTTTTTATTAAAAATTTAATATATATTTTTTTATTAAAAATTTTAGTATTTTTTTTTATAACTGTTTTTAAAATATTTTTTAACTTTATAATAATCGCAATTAATATTTAGTATTTTGTGAAAAGTTATGTTCCAGTCAGATATAAAAATATAATATGGTTTTATTTTATTAATATTATAAAATTACAAATAAAAAATATAAAAAAAAAAAATAATTTATTCTCTTAATTTACAGTATATGGTAAATTGAATAAATATGACACAATATACTGTACAGTGTTTCCTAGTTAATGAAATTAAATGGTTTTTTTTTTTTATAATAAATAAATTATATAAATTTAATTGTGATTTAGTTGTGGGTTGAATAACAAATGAATTTGTACAAAAACGGTGTAACGACATTCTTCTTTTTTTTTTCAATATTGAATTGGGTTAATGTGAACCGGACATTTATTAATTAGGATTCGTATTTATACAATTTAACCGTATTTGTATAATGATGGACCTCGAACCAAAAGAGGTAAATTAAATTTGCTGCAGTGGATTTGCCCTTCATTAACATACGTGAACTATGCATACGCATGTTACGTGCACACACACTCCTTTTTGCGTCGATTTCGACGTGCATTTTGAATTTTAAGAGGAAAAAAGAAGCGACAGCGAAACATGAACTTGATGATGAATGATTCAATAGAAAAAGAAAATATCACAACTTACCAATACAACATGTTTGACGATGTGACTCCTATTGGTGAGAATATCTTTAAGGCGACCCTACGAAATAGTAGAAAATTTGTAATTCTCAAACAAATTCATTTAGATGGAGAGTCTGATTTAAACGACATGATCAGTGAAGTGGGTTTTTTCTTGTTTGATACTAATAATTGGTGAAGCAGTGTTAAAGCCTTGATAATTTCTCAATTAAAGATAAAGAAATATAAAAGGTTGAAAGTTCACGACAATATTAACATCTTGAGATTACACGGTGTTACCGAGCAAGGTGAAAAATTTTTTCGAAACCATTTCAACTGCAAGCATAGCATTGTTTGTTGAGTTTATCACTCACCAATTGTGCGCATACAGAAAACCCAAGTAGACGCATGCTGGTTCTTGAGTATGCTAATCGGGGCACTCTGAAGAAGTATCTGAAAGAGAATCACAAGACAATGAGCTGGAAAATAAGATTATGTTTCGCAAAACAAATTGCAAGTGTATTGATGTATCTGCATTCAATCAATATTGTTCATGGGAACTTGGTAATTATCAAAATAAATTTTTTTGTTCCTGATGGATTCAGATTTTAATTTGCATTCATTTCTTTACGTAGACTTCCGAAAATCTTCTTGTTCACAACGAGAATATCAAACTGTGTACTTTCAAAATATCCAAAAAAGCGGTTGAATCCGGAAAGTTTGTTGAGAAATTCTTGGGTTCATTTCAGTATTCAGATTCGCAACACTTGAGATTATGTAGCAACGCCAGCGATTGCAAAAAGAGTTCGGATATATTCGATTTGGGAATCATTTTATGGGAAATTGCGAGCGGAGGTTCTCAATCCGATTCGCCATTTGATCCAAGTTCTTTATCAAGAGAGGAACTATTAAACTACATTAAGAATGGCGACAGAAGTAAAGTCGTCGCAGGAACACCTCGCGGATATTTGAAAATTTATACAGGTATTGTCATGTAAAAAGAAAGATTCTTTTCTGCTATTCGTGCCTTTATTATCTGATAGAGTTGGTTAAAAAAAAAAAATTTTTTTTTTTTTTTTTATACGTGGTAGACTGTCTACAATACGAAGAAAGCCTTCGTCCAAATATTTCACAAGTTTTTAGGGATCTGAAGAAAATAAATATTTCGGATACAATAAGTGAACTAGAAATCTTAATACCACATTTTAATGACACCAAAAATAAAAATTTAATAAAAGCCGACATTCTAAATGTGTATGTGTTATCTATTTAACTTGTGCTTATATCGCATTACTAAACTATTCCAATGTTTCCTTGTTTAGGGAGGATAATGAATTTGAACCTCAACAAAAGCCATCAACAAAATCTGCCAAATCCACGGTTCGCTCTACTGCGGAGACTGATGCGTTCATTAAAAGTTTATTCCAATTTTTTACGAATTTATTCTTTAAGCAACACATTGTTATGGCGCCAGTTTTGATAAAAAAATACATCAAAGATCACAAGAAAAATCCTGTTAAAGTGTTTCATCAGTTGCTTCAAAGTCAATATCGATCCTATATCACAAGTATGATTGGTTGTTTTTATCAATATGGAATTGGCGTTGTTGTGGATTACAAAATGGCGTTTGAATATTATTCGCTGGCTGTTAATGATACAATTGATTCCGAAAACGAAATATCAACCTGGAGCAAATCGTTTAAAAGATACAATATAATCAACAGTAGAATACTTATTGCAAGTCTGTATATAGACGGCAAAGGAATCAATCAAAACAGGCGTAAGGCCTTTCAGATTTTGCTAAAAACGGCCGCCGAAGGTTCAAGTAGAGCGGTAAATTACATAGGATATTGTTTTGAAAAAGGCTATGGTGTTGATCAGGACAGTCACAAAGCCTTCGTCCTATATTCGAAGGCTGCCGAACAGGGATACTTGGTGGCACAGTGTAATCGGGGCTACGGTTTTCAAGACGGCGTGGGAACCGAAAAAGATGAGATCAAAGGATTTCAATATTACTTGAAGGCTGCAATGGAAGGGAACGTGGTAGCAAAGTATTGTGTTGGTTGGTGTTTTGAAAATGGGCAGGGGGTGGAGAAGAACGAGGAGATTGCCTATTACTGGTATTTAAAGTGTGCAAACGAAGGGTACAGCAGCTCTCAGAGTAATGTCGCATATTGTTATTGGATTGGCCAAGGAGTTGCTCAGAACGAAAAGAAAGCGTTCGAATGGTACCGGAAGGCTGGCGAAAATGGAAATGTATTCAGTCAACGTATGACGGGCATTCGATATATGAACGGAACCGGCATAACAAAGGATATCATCAAGGCCATATTTTGGCTACAGAAGGCTGCTGAAAATGGCGACAATGATGCGGTAGACGAGTTGGAAGACATAACTGGCTTCATGTTTCTATTATTATGATTATGAAATTCAGTTACCAAAATTTTTAAATATTAAAATGTATGATTTAACTAGAATATATCTCATCTTAAAGTTGCAATATGTAATATTTAAAATTAGCACAATAAATTGTGAAGCTGTAACTTTATCTGAATAAAATTATATTTGGCATAGAACTTATAAGCTACCAATTCGCATATGATCATTACGTGTTATATTGAAAATTTCCCAGATGAAATCATACAAAAGGTTCAAAATATTATGTTCAAAATGGTGTTTCAAAAAAAAAAAAAAAAAAAAAAAAAAAATTCGATAACGTTTATTTGCAAGAAGACGTTGCATTCAAAAAATTTTAATAATGCGACGATAAGTTTTTTAATGTAATTAACGATACCAAATTTTTATCGAATACTTGATAAATCATTTTGCAAATTAACAACAATAAAAATACTGCATAGAGCACGTTTTAAAACATTTGAAATATTTTTCACGTTCGGCAATCGATTCTTGGCGTGCAATAATACATTTTATTCATTTTTTTAAAAAAAAAAAACCGTCGGAAGTCGGGATTTTTTATGACAATCATAAGTTGACTCGATTGACAATTTCATTTAATAAATCGGCCGCATCTAGGTCATCATTCTCCTTTGCTAAATTTAACCAATAGATGGCTTTTATAAAATCTCTAACTGTTCCGGTCCCGTTTACATACCGCACCCCTAACAACCTTTGACTCACCACACTCCCGTTTTTCGCGGCTTTCATGTAATTTTCAAATGCCTTCCGTTCATCTCTGCGGGTGCCAACTCCCAATCCGTAGCAATAGCCAATGTCACATTGAGACCCGTTGTAGTCATTCTCGGCAGATTTTGAATAATACTTGAAGGCGGCCTGCTCGTCTTTATCGACCCCTTTTCCGTAAAAGTAAATTTCCCCAATATAATAATATGCAATGATATTTCCTCCCCTCGCTGATTTTGAATACCAATCGTAACTTTTTGTCTCGTCCCGCTTCGTCCCTATACCTTCTTGAAAACAGTATCCAACGTTGCATTGGGCCACAAGATTCCCTTGGTTGGCGGCTTTCAGATACAATTCGAACGCCTTGACCTCACTCTTTTCCACGCCCAATCCATATTCATAACAGAAGCCTATATAATTCTGCGCTCTGGTTGAGCCCTCCCCTGCTGTCTTCGCGAAAAGTCGGAAAGCTTTTTGCTCATCTTTTGCCACGCCTTTGCCATACAAATAAATATTCGCGAGCAGTATCTGCCCGATGGTCTTATTGTCCTTTTTAAATTTCTTAATGAATGATGGTATATCGGAGGAATCGTTCTTCTCATCAGTTATTTCATTCGTTGCACGCAAGTAAAATTCAAAAGCCATCTTATTGTCAGCTATTGTTCCAATGCTGTGTTTATAGAAAAATCCAATCATACTTGTGTAGTAAGACTTGTGTCGACCGACCAAATGGTATAGTATTTTGGCAGGATTTTTATCATGATCCTTGATGAATTTTTTAATGCAGATTGGCATCATGTCCAAATGTTGCTTCACGAATAATTCGGTGAAAAATTTGAACAAGCTTCTCATGAATGCATCCATCTCGGACATGTGCGAATTAGATTTGGTCACGGCCCTGCTATTTCCTCTGGAATTGAAGATAATTACGGTAACTAGCGTCTTCGCAAAAGTAAATAGGGATTTTATACCAAACAACTCACATATTCGTATCTGTTGTTTTCGAGGTTTTCGTTTTATAGAAATTCGAGGACAAGTTGACGAATCCCATTTCCATCCCGCGTAAATCTATTTCATCAAGACTTCTAATAATCTGCTCAATAGTTGGTCGTCGATTTCTATTGGGATGGCAACAGTCTGTTGGATATTTCAACGGAATGGTAATATAGACAAGAACCTAAAACCGAAAGAACGTGATCACAATGCACGTCATATTATACCTTCACATATTTTTATGTATCCCTGGGGCAGATTCTCTCTATCAACCTTCTCCCGACGCAAACTTTCGAATCCGAATGAAGGGGCGACGCCCGAAATCTCCCACAAAAGAATTCCCAATTTGTTCAGATCCAAACTGGTTTTACAGTGTGTGGTACCAAGAGGCTCCAGGCGTTGGGTGCCCCGGCTTCGGTGTGGACCATTTATTGGTGACCCTTTCATTTTGAAGTCGTTTAACTTGATCCTTTCATTGCGAATGGGGATATCCTCGGAGTCCTATTTGAATAGCGATTTGAGGGAAAAAAAGAAAAAAGAGAGAAAATTCCAACGCGGTCATCCATTTATTTCATCACATCCATTGCATAAAATATCCTTCTTCCGAAATGATGACAAATACCAATTTTTCATAAATGATTTCGTTCAGTTGCAGGAAGTACAATGCCTCAACGATTTGTTTTGCAAGTGACAACTTTACGTTCCAGTTCATCATTTTTAAATTTTCCCTCATGTATTGACCGAGCGTACCGTAATTTACGTATTCGAGAACCCTCATGAAGTTTTCTGAAAGAAACGCGCAACAGATTTTAAACAAACAAGTGAAATGTTAATATGAGTACGCTGTTTGTTACCTCGTTTGGTAACGCTATAAAATTTTATGATGCTCTCGTGACTTTTCAAAACCTTTAGGTTTTGGATCTTTTTTATTGCAAAGCTTGAATCAATTTCAAATCGCCAGTAATCTTGCATCGAGTTAAATAGAAGTGGATTCACTTACCTCGCTCGTGGTGTCATCGGCCGTTAAATTGAGAGATTTGATGGCCACCACTTTTCGAAAACTTCGGGGGGTGGCCTCATAAATCTTTTCGAATGGCCTTCTTCCAATCGATGTCACATCCGTGAATTCCCCGTTAAAGGAGTAAAGAGTGATGTTTGCTTGTTTAAGGGCATTATAGACGATCAATCTATTCCTCCATTCTTCGATGTATGCGTTTCGAGTTTCAAGAGCCATTGAATGAAATGATGCGCACAAGCTGGTCGTACCACATTTTATACCATATATTGATTTCTGATTTACATTTACATTTCACAAAATTAAACAAATTTTATTTAGGCGATGAATACTGTATATATGCCGATAATTATTATCCGCCACGAATTTCTTGGGTTTCTCATTTTTTATGGTCCTCACACTCGTGCAGTAATCAAATGCAAGTGAATTTATGTTCACATGTTTACGCGACTGATGATGTCGTCTAGGTATTCTTGTGACAAATCTCCATTCTCATTTGCTCGACCTACCCAATAGATGAACCTGATTATGTCTCTCTTCGTTCCAATACCTTCGTTAAGGCAAAAACCGAGCTGGCGTTGTCCAAATGCGCATTTGTTTTCTGCCGATCCCAAATACCATTCATAAGCCTTTCTATCGTCCTTCTCAACTCCAATTCCTTCATAATAACAGTATGCCACATCACACTGGGCCTCATCGTATCCCGCCTCGGCACTTTTCAAGTAAAATTCGAAAGCCTTCTTGTAATCTTTGACCCTGAAATAATAATCCCCGACGTAATACAAGGCCTTAATATTTCCACCCTCGGCAGACTTCACGAACCATTGAAATCCCATGTTTTCATCTTTCCTGGTACCTATGCCCTCGTGAAAACAACACCCAAAATTAATCTGGCCAACCAAATTTCCGCTTTCCGCCGATTTCTTGTACATTTCAAATGCTTTTAGCGAATTACGTTCAACCCCATGACCATAACAATAGCAAAACGCCACCCACGATTCCGCCCTACTTGACCCTTCTTTGGCTGCCCTCGAGAATAATTGAAACGCTTTTCTCACATCCGTCCCCACGGTTGCATTGTCGTAGTACATGTATCCAAGGGAAATCGTTCCGATAATTCGATTTTTCCTTTTGAATAATTCGAAAGGAGATGTCCGATTTCGGACACCAGAGTCCATGTCGACAATCGTATTGGTTGCCCGTGCATACATTTCAAAAGCCAATTGATAATTTATTTCCGTGCCCAATCCAAACTCGTAAAAATGACCGATCAAACTAGTGAAGCAGGATTTTTGCGGATGTCGAAGTAATTGTTGGAAAACCTTGATTATATTCAACGCGGCACTCTTCAGATAACTCTTAATCAGGAATGGCAGTCTCTTGGTGTGCTGCTTATCAAATATTTCGATGAAATATCGAAATAGGTCTGCTATTATTAGGTCTGTCTCATTAACAAATGTCGGCCTTTCACGTTCACTAAATCGAATGGAGTTGGTAAAGGATCCTTCGGAGGTATTTTTACACGAACGACTCGTCTCTACGTACCGATCCACCTTGGTCTCGCCTTTTGAAACAAGTATTCCGGGATCTTTTGTTGAACTCGTCGATTCAATAGTACCTAAATTCTTGGCAACCATTCTAATATCGGGACGAGAATTTTCATTATTATGTTGCAAACAATCTAACAGTTGATCGAATCGTCAAATATAATTGTAAGTGTTTCCACGTCGAAGAAGGGGAACAAAGAAAGAAAGAAATTTGTCCGCACATAGCTTTCTATATTCCCAAGGTATTCCGGACACGCTTGACACCTCGCCTTCTGTGATTTCATTTATCAATTCAGAATTGGGCTGAACGTGACTGCTTGAAACCTCCCAGAGGATCACCTCTAGATCATAGATGTCGGAACTTTTTCTACCATTAACAACACCGTCGGAAATTTTCAGGTACGGTTGAGTTAAACAAGCGATCGATCCAGATGACCGACTTATCACTCTTGAGGCTCCCCTCGTTCTTTCCAACTGTCCAAAGCTCGTTAACTCTACTTTTCCTTTATTAATAATAATATTTTTAGAATTCTAGTTGCGCAAAAAAGACGGCATCTGATTAATATTGAAAAGATCAAGCAAAAAAAAAAAAGAAAAAGAAAAAGAAAAATGAAGGAAAGAAAGGATAAGGAAGGAAGGAGGTAAAGAGAAGTAAATAAATAAATAATTGATTGATTTAAGAAAAAAATTCAAATTCTCACTAGGTTCCCGTGAACAATATTGTTCTCATGCAGATACAACAGCCCACCGGTGATTTGCTTTGCAATCTGTGATTCAGAACTCCATTTCACGGCCACAACATTCGCCAATTCGGGAATAAGATAATCGGCATCGCCTTAAATAAGAGGTTATGCAGTAAAGGTGCGTATTAGTATTTGTAGAAAGGAAACATGAAAAACAAACAGATAATTGATTTCGTACATGATTTTTCAAGAACAAAAAATTTCGAAAGATTTTCATAAAACTCTGATTCTCTATGACCCTTTGTTTAAAACAATTCTTTAGTGTCGATATGATAACCTATCTGGTCGGTCGAAATAAGTTTATGGTGAGGCTCACTTCGTCGATTAAATTCTCGAATTCAAATCCTATCGTCGTCCGGATAAACTTGGGAACCACTACGATTTGACGCAAAAGTTCGCGAGACCTTTCATCAGTAATTTCGGAGTCTCTGTGATCGACTCTCATCGTGACAAAAGGGGATGTTTTGGATAGTGGGGATGTTGCTAATGCGTGTAATGGGAATGACATGCCAAGCAGAAAATTTGATGTGACCAAATACGATTGCATAAATACTGTGTAATGATCACATGACCTTATGTCAACACCCGGGCGTAAACATTGAAGGGATACAATGGTACAAATAAAAGGTTGAAGGTTTCTCCATTGTTCAAAACTCCAGACTTTAACAACGTTGTGCTATGATAAAGATCATTTATTTGGTATTTATAACAATGCGGTCTAAAAGAAACAGGTTCTAAAGTTGATGATGCATTTTAAGACTGAATAATGCAGTCGAAATAATTTCTTGTAAATCCTGCGGGTGTTATTTTACCACGTTGCTGAAGGCATCAGTTCATCACTATACAACCAAGTCGGCTATTAGAGTTAGATTCTCTTCGGCCTCTTTGTCGCCATTCTCTCTAGCCAAGTTGAACCAACGAATGCCCTTTATAATATCCTTCGGTGCTCCTATTCCTCTCAAATACCGCACCCCGACTGTGCTTTGACTAAGCGCGTGTTCATTTTCAGCCCCCCTCAGGTACCACGAAAATGCTTTTTCCTCATCTTGGTCAATTCCTTTCCCGGTCCCGAAACAGTATCCCACGTCTCCTTGGGCCCTATTATATCCACTTTCCGCAGATTTTAGATACCACCCAAAGGCAATTCTTTCGTTAAGATCCACGCCTCGTCCGTAAAAATAACAATCCCCGACAAAATACATTGCGACGATATTCCCTTCCGTGGCCGATCTTAAGTACCATTCAAAACTTTTTTTTTCATCCTTTATCGCACCCTTTCCTTCTTGATAAATATATCCCAGGTTGCATTGAGCCACAAGATTTCCCTGCTCTCCAGCCTTTAAATAAAATTCGAATGCCTTTCTGTCATTTTTTCCAACACCCGAGCCATTGTCGTAGCACACTCCAATGAAATTTAATGCTCGACTCGAACCTTCCCCCGCCGTTTTTAAAAAAATTTGAAAAGCTTTCTTCTCATTTTTTTCCACGCCTTTTCCTTCCAGATACAAATTTGCTAGTAAAATTTTGCCACACGTTCTATTACGCCTTCTAAAAAACTTGATTTTTGAACTCTCCTTTTCATCCCCTTCAGTTATATCATTAATGGCTTGCAAATAATATTCGAAGGCCAGACTACAATCGATTTTAGTGCCTATCCCGTACTCATAGAAAAATCCTATCATACTTGTGAAACATGAATGTTTTGGGTGATTGATCAAATTATTAAGCAACCTACAAGAATTCTTTTTAAAGTCTTTGATGTAGTGTTTAACGAAAATTGGCATCATGTGTAAGTGTTGTTTTTTGAA